AATCGGTCGAAACGCTACACGGTTTCTCGCGTAGCATGCGCGCGCGTTTCCAATTAAGCGTAGATCAATTTTGATGCTGCAAGCTACGTAATTGATATAACGGCCCGGGTTAGTGTGTATATATATATATATGTATCGCGTCGGCCATTCGTACTTATCGGCCGCTGCCAATCACCACTTTCATCCGATTTCTGTCACCTGTCCGATTTTCCATCCGCTCCAATTGCCGGAGATCTTTCTGCGTTCGTGCTCCTCCGATATTTCGATCGATAATTCGATAATTCTATCGCGATTTCCTTTCTCTCTCTTTCTCTCTCTCTGTCCTCCCGTCGGAGGAATTTATCAATCGATGTGGGACGAATGCAGTATTTTTTTTTCCCTCCCCAATATTTGACGTATTATAAATATTTGTAGCGCGTATCTTTTTTGAATTAAGCCAGGTTCGCGTGTCGAAATTTTTTTTTTCCTCTGTGTGAATGTATATATGTATTCGATAAATATCGACGATTGCGCGTTTATAAAAATGGGAACGAGGGGGAGGAAGAGGGAAGTCTCATTCACCGCGACCGATTTAATTGTAAATTCAATCAACCGCTTGCGCTTGAAATTGGAATTAAAATTGATAAGCTTCTTTCTTCCCTTCGAGCGCGACAACAAGGGAGTCGACGATTGAAACGTGAATGTTTTTAAAAAAAAAAAAAAAAAAGGAGATTTTTCCAGGAGAAGGGAAAACGCTTTATCTCGTTGACCGTGTTATGAAAAGTAATTATAACGAAGTGAACGATTCCTCGGCCCCAGGAATCGAACGTTGTTTTCCTTGTATGGAAAACACCTTTGTTTCCATATATCGAGCGATGAAACGATCGATAAAGGGGGAGGGGGGGGGGTGCTATCTATGATCATTATCGGTGCAATCGTTGCGCCCCTCTGTCGCCTACGGTACGGAGAGATTACCTGTTCAAACAACAGGTGGTTCTGAAAACGGCAATTAATCGAAGAAGACTGCAATTTATGTCCGTCGAACGCCCCTCCCCTCCTTTCCTCTTACTTGTCTTTGTGAAAGAGAAAGAGAGCAACGGGGAAAATTAATAATCAGATCTCCGATAATTCACTATCTTCGGATCCTGTCTTTTTAGATAGAAAGATGAGCGATCGATCTTTCGAAGATCTTGAAGATCTTCCAACGTCCAAGATTATAAAAAAGATATGATGCATTTATGAAAGAAAGTGATGAAAGAATAAGTGAATCAGGGATCGTTAATTTTTTATAAACAATTCTTACGTTAAAATTTTATATTTAACCATCGTTTCTTCTGCATTTCCAATTTCCGTTTCATCGAAGATTCTTCTTCTACTTAAGAAGATACATTTTGTAATTTTTACATCAACATTTGTCTGCATCCATGACTCATTGACGTATCATATTGCTTCTTAGAAAGATGGAAAATCGTTAAAAATAGAATTTCTCGATCGTCAAATCCATCGATTAATCCATCACTCGAGATACGTTCTCTATAAGATATTCCTCTTAAGAGAGAAGCAAGTATTCAAAATAACGCGTGTCGATTCGATGACAGAGAATAAATCTGTCAACGAAGGGGAACGAAACGCGTTTCCTTTGAAATCCGTGAAAGAGGGGGAGGGAGAGGGGCCTGGCAAAATAGGGGAAAATTCTCAAACGTATCGGAAGAGAGTTGCGGGAAACCGCGGTGAATCGATGTGCCCCGGCGAAATCGAGTTATACACGGTGAAAACACGAGTCGTTTGCCGGCAAACAACCGGCGCGACAATTGAAATTCCAAAGTGGTGGATCGTATTGCACGCGTATTTCCGCTCCCCTATCTAGACGGAGGAAATCGTATCCATCTATCCGCGAAAATCCTATGAGAAACGAGTGGATAAAAACTCGATCCTCGCGCGTCTAATTTTCAAGCGTCTCTCGTGACGAGTTAAAGGAAACGTGACTACATGATGACGAAACGTTCAAGAGACTCTTCGATCCCTTCTTAAAGTAATGATGGAAATTCCATTCTGCTCTCTTTTTCTCTTTTCCCTCTCCAAACATCTAACCATCGAGGTCTGCAACTTGTCTTCTGAAAGGATTGGTTTCCGAAAGTCATCGAAATTTTTATCAACAGAATAAATTTTAAAATTTCCTATAAATATAAATCTACAAACATTTGTATTTCTGATCCTTTTTACAAATAATAAAGAGAATTCACACAGAAGATTTTTTTTTTTCAACGCATAGGAGATGCACAAAATAAAAAGATAAGAAGAGGAAGAAAGAGAGAGGGTATGTTACATCTTCTCGATCGATGAAGGAATCCAAAACGGGGAAAGAAATTTGAATTGCCAAAATCAAAGTTGATAGATAATTCGGTGTGTAATTCGTCATCGGGAATTCGCGAGGCCGATTCGAGAGGATTTCCCGCAAGAACATTATCATTTTAGCCGACGGAGATTGCGGCTCGATTATCGATTCGAAGTGGCTCTCGTCAAGTAATCAACCGTCGGCTGCTCTTTCGTTTACACTTCCTGTCACCGTTTCCGATCAATCGCTCTAACGAAACGTAAATTCTCCTTTCGTTCCTCTTGCACGGAATTTTATTGACAATGGAAAATATATCTTTCACACAAACTATGTATTTCGAATTATTATAATAAATAACGATGATAACGAATAAGGAATAATGCACAATTGAATTGAATAGAAAATGAATGGCATACGAACGAGTAAATAATAATTGATTTTTTCCCTCCAAAAGTGTAATTAACAAGCCTCGATAACCAAAATACAATTTTAACCATACATTTTACGAATCTTTCACGCGGTTCGCAAAGAATAATGAGAAAAATAAACGAACGAACGAACGACTGAACGCAAGAAACGTAATCGCCAACTAATTAAGGAGGGAAAGAAAAACAAAGAATCCTTTCGTTAAAGTATCCCTCCGAATTGAACCGAGCAAAGCGTTCATAATTATTCCGCGAGTACGGTACAGTTTTAGAAGCGCGAAAGTGCGAAACGGGAGAGTTGGAAAAAACGTGGCGGAACGCGGCGCGATAATTAGTCGGGTATTTCGAGCGAAACTGGTATTCGAATGATAAATGGATTTTAATCAAACGCGTTCCTTCAACCAGTCAGTCCATCACGTCCAAGGGAGGTGCTTTCCACCTGTCGTACCAGCGCATCGTTCACCGGGCTAATTAATGCACACGATCTCGCGAACTCCTCGTTTCTCGTGCGAGGAGGAACAGGGTTGATCGTCTCCTCCTCCTGCTCCTCCTCCTCCACTCCTCAATCGAGCAAGTTTTACTGGAGGAGGATATGTTAACGAGGGAGGATCGAGCACATTTGTCTCTCCGCTTGTTTCGTTGCAAGCGAGTGGAAACCAACCCCCTCCTCATTTGTTGCAAAGAAAGCAACCAAGCCCTGGAGGGTGTGGAGCGAAACTTGGATGGTTGGCGACCATAGTAATACACTTTTAACTGCGTCGTTTGCTTTGTACGAGCATCGCGCAAAAGAACAATGCTCCTCTACCCGCGCTACTCAACAAGGAGGGGAAATATGCGAAACGTTAACAACAGGGAGGGAACAATAACGCAAACTGTACGTATAAAGTAGCTGTTTGGATTGGTCTTTTGGTAAGTTTTGTTTAAATTTGGTTCGTTCGGAGAGAGAAACTTTTCATTGGAAGAATTTTTTTTACGCGATTGATTAAGGATTAATTGGATACGTTTGGTGAAAAAAGGGAATGAATTTTGGAAATTTTGTTTCAGGATTTAAAAAATAATTTTTCATTCGATCTTCCGGACGAAAAACGAAATCGAGTCGATTCGTTCTTCGAGGGTCGTCTTCGAGAAAATGATTTTTCAATTTTAAGCCGATTAATAGAGTTAATTCAATTTTAATTCGATAATAATATGTTTATTTCTGAATATTTTACCGAAAATTTGGAAAGGAGACACGGAGAAATCGATTGCCTTAGAAAACTCTTGCGAATGTTTGAATAAATATTTTTCGTCATCAAGAAACGGACAACGAAATTATACGAAATTTGTGAAATTTATACAAAATAACAACGGAGAAAAATTTCTTTAAAATTCACTGTTTCAACTCTTGGAAAATTAAAGAGAGAAACTAGATACAAGTTTGCGGAAATGATTCTCGAGCCGCGACCTTCGAAAGAGTAGCGCGTGTCTCTCATTCAAAGTGTTAATTACGTTTCCCTATCCTTCGATCCAACGAATCGCGCATAACATTCAACATTCTATTACATTATTCTTGATATTCGTAGAAGAACAAGCTTCGTTGCTTTATTGCGCGTTATTAAAATAGCATCGACGAAGGGGACGTTGTTTTTTATTTATTTCGAGGGGGATGCACGAGCCAGAAATATCTCTCCGAGCGGGGAGATGCCCTCGCGAAATTTTAAACTCGTTGAAAGTGGAGCAAAGGCGACGACGACTCGAGGACGATCCTCGAAGAACGAATCGACTCGATTTCGCTTCCCGTTCGCGGAAGATCAACGAAAGATCGACTCTCGAAACGAAACGGGTTATATTACGAGATTGACGCGTTAACTTCGAACCTTTGAAACCTTCATTCGAAATCAATGTAATAGAAAAAGAAACGTACATCAGAAGGAGATCCTCGAAACAGAAAAATATGTCCAACACTTGCGCTCACTTCGCTCCACGTGACACAACGTTTATCCGAAAATGAATCACATAGAAATATTACGCAGAAAGGTTCGAGTCTCGATACGATAGTCCTTCGCCCGTTTTCCACGGCGTTAATTAATAATAATATCGTGGCGTTCGATGGTCAAACCGCATTCGTAAAATGGCGCGCGTCCGGCACGGATTACCGCGACCCGATTAATTGATCGTCCTCGTGCATCGTAATTGGGCAAAAAGATCGAGAGATCAACTCGATTCTCTTGCGACTTATATATTTCCATTTAACAAGGATACAGTAATTGGAGTAATTGGTCTCAATGGAGAGGAAAAAAAAAAAAAAAGAGCGGATAATTAGATACGTTTCTTTCGCAAGTATTCTCGAAACCAAGTGTAAACGTATAAACGATGGAGAGGAGGAGGGAAAAAATTCACTGTTCGAAAGAGACGAGTATCTACTACTTCTCTGACTCGTATTTAAACGATTACGTACTCTTGGAATAACCGTGATGGCAAGTGTAATTAGAATGGGAAGGCGAAGTGCAAGGAAGGGGAAAAATGGAAAGGAAAAAAAAAAAAAAAAATAGAGAGAAAGTGCACCACCTTCGGTTAAAATTCATGCGAGGCGATAATTCGAGGCAACAGGTTGGCAGCATTGATTTTTCAACCGCAGCCGTCGAAGCTCGTTGGTTTCGGGGTCATTCTCGCCTCTGACTCGAGGTGACAGCTGGTCCACATTTCAACCCGAATCGAGGACGTTCCAATGAGCAGCAAATTATCGGCTTTCTCGGCGTTAAACGGTTACTGCGTATATAATAATCGTTGTGACGGTGAGTATCGAGTTTGTCGAAATAATTTTGGACGAGATGTAAATAATAAAAAAAGAGAAAAGATTGGTTTTAACCAGATATCTTCTTTTTTCTCCGCAACAGCAACCGAATCACGATTCTGGAATGGCGGACGCGTGGGCATCGGAGACGATTGTCGCCCATTATGGTAAGTAGATCTTATTGAGATCAGTTTCCAGCTCCGTTTCGCGCAATTGATTAGACGAGCGGATCACGCGATTAAACGAGCCCGTTCGCAATTTCTTCGTCGAACGATCTGTGCAACGAGAATTTTCGATTCCTTCGTTGTAAAAACGGAATATTTTAACAATCGCGCGATGCGAAAATTTTTCGCTTTCCAACGACTAGCGTAACATGTTTATCGATCGACGATTCGTTCTGTTCTAACGCGTAATAACAACACGCGTATAATAACGTATATAAGAACGCGACAAATGCGAAATGTAAATAGAAACGTAAATGTCGTCGTACGAGTAACGAAACGTATACGAAAATAAACACGATACGCGATTCTCTCCTCGAAATTATAAACACGGAACGGAACACAGCCGTTAGTTCGTCTACGCAGTACGGCGGCACAACATCGAGAGACAACATCGAGAGAGGAGTCACAGAGAAAACTCACCAGAAACTCGCCGCTGCCGAGGCTCTGCTGCGATCCGTCCGGCGTCACGGCAAGATCGGCGACGATCGACGTTGAGAAGCTTCTCCTCGTCTGATGGTGGCACTTGTGCGGCCCGTTCATCCTCTGAGTCGCGTAAGTGGACACAACGTTGCTCTCGTTCAACTTGGACGTCCATATCTCCTCCTCCCTTTGAGGCGATTGACCGATGGTCCGATGCTTGGTGAACCTCGAGATCCTCTCGGTCTTCACCCAGTCGTGATTAGGCCGCGGTTGTCGGGTGATCGTCTGCAGGGACTTCATCGCGTTGAATCTCGAGAAACCGTCCTCCATGGCCGCTGCCCACAGGTGATCGGGCAGATCCTTGGACCCTCGCCGAGTTTCCACCGACTGTCTGTCCGAGGAGGAGCCTAGGCCGGACGTGGTCGGTGTGTTGGGGAAGAATCTTCGATAGGTGTCCTTCGAGTCCTCGATGTCGGTCGAGTAGAAGTCGGCGTCGCGCGATTCCAAGGATCGATTGTTCTCGTGGAGGTTGAGCGACGATCCGATACCCGTCGACGTGGTCGAGGTGCGGAAGAACTTTGCCTCGTTCGCGGACGTCCATATCTCGTCGGTGATGGACGAGTCGATTCCGGTCGAGGTGGTTGGAGTTCTGGGTATCAGATGGTATTTCGAATTTCCGTGTTTCGTGACGCTCGGCCGCGATACTCGGCGACGAAACGAAAAATAGAAATGGAAACTCGACTCTCTGCTTTTTAGTTTCGTCGTTTTCACTATTGTGTTATCGTTATCGTTATCGTTATTATTATTATTATTATTGTACGAAACGTTTTCGCGAGATAATCTCGGGAGGGGAATGTCTACCTGTAAGAGAGGTTCCTCTCCTTCCACAGCTCTTCGGGGTTGGTGGTCGTGTGGCCCGTGGCGGTATTGGCGAGCGTGGTGTGATGATTGGCGTAGGAACATCTTTGGGGGAAGCCCATACCCTCGTCGAGGCCGGCCGCCCAGAGTGACTCGAGGGGCAGATCTTGGGTGCCGACCGAGGTCCCCATACCCCTGCTGCTCCCCGTCCCCGACCCGTGCTTCCCCCCATTCGAGGGGAACACTCTCTCGGCGCCCTGAAGGACGCAGCACATGCTCGTGCCACTTCCGCCACCGCCGCCGACCGCGCCTCCGCCCTCCTCCGCCTCCGACCCCCTGGAACCTGAGCTTTGCAGGCAACCTATTGTGACCGAGCTTTTAAGCTGCTCGCAGGCCTCCACCCCTTTTTCACGGGGCTGACGACCTTTCCCTCCGTTACCCTCCGCCCCCACTCCCTCCGCACTCTGGCCTTGCCAGCCTCGTTCTCCTCAGGGTCGACCCTTCATCCTTTCCTCTCCCTTCCTCGTCCCCTTCCTTTGTCTTTTCCGCTCTTTCTCCCTTTCCCCCTCCACCCCCTCCCCTTTGATTCTTCGTTCGTCTAATGGATGAAACGACCCGCTACCCTCCTTCTATTCTCTCT